CCCAAAAAAAATTCACAAAACTAACCACTTTACCACGAAGATCCTACTTAAACAAAACAAACAATACATGCTGCGTAGTTGCATTGAATTTACAGCTGACTGCGAAGGACCATCGATAACTCTGTGCACAGGAGAATGCTAGGCTTTGTATTCAAAATGGGTGGAAACCATTAAAATTTATTTTACTGCACTGGGCCTGAATAAGGTAGAATTCACACATAAACACGTGTGATTATAGTCAGATCACGGTGCCTAGTCTGGGCAATGAGATGTAATTAGACAGCCGAATTAAGGCTCCGCCCCTAAGAAGTGGTTATAATGGGAAAAAAACTATATGTCGCAGTTCATTTTTAATTAAACAGATTAAAGCTAGGCTCTAGACCTCAATCTATTTCTTCCTAAAACCACTTCTCCGCTAACGCTGATATGATACCGTGTCCTACAACAATTTACTTTATTAGTTAGCCTAGGGCAGAAGTCATAACTCTCAGTGTCTGGCGATTCGCTGCCACCTGTTGTAGGTCTCGTATGTTTATTAGGTAAATGGTTGATCCTTTCCTTGATGATGGTTCTACACAGGGTCTGTATTGGTATTTCCTGTTTTCTTTTCCCTTCCGGTGTCCACATGAGAGCTTGATGGGAGAGCGGTTTTATCCATTCTGAGAGCATGGTCGGTGTAGTTCCAGTGGCGCTTTAAAATTGGATACATTATCATGCTTGGTCTCTTGTCTTATTTGTTAGATACAATATTATAAACTACTGTACCTTTATATACACTCACTGAAATCTAGTTTGCCTACACGGAGAATTCGTCTCCCTACATCAGTGTTTCCTAAAATTTTCTTGATGGCGGCGCCTTTTTTTCTTCTTTAAATAAAACATTTCCACGGCGCCTTAACCTAAGTAAAATTATGACTATTCGTGTCTTGGTTAAATTATTATGAAGCTTTTACAATACTTCGCGGCGCCCCTGTAAAGAGGTCAGGGCTCACCGGGGCACCGCGGCGCACCGTTTGGGAATCACTGGCCTACATGAAGAATCTTCCCCAATACAGAAGAAAACTCGTTTCCCAGACGAAAACGTGTTTCCCTAAATAAAGAATCCTTTCGCCGCAGAAATAATGTTTTTCCTACATTAAGAATCCGTTGTGTTTTCCTAAACGAAGAATCCTTTAGCTACAGAAGGAATATTTTTCACTACATTAAGAATCCGTTTCTATACATGCAGATTCAGTTTCACTAAAGAAAAGAAGAAAGGCATTTCCACAAATGAAGAATTCTTTTCACCGACGTCATTCTTTGAACCACAAGGTCTTGATCACAAAAATTTTGGTTTCGGGCTCAATCTGAAAGTTCTACAAATACGGTACCAGGAAGGAGAAGAACAGACGGTAAAAGGACTTGTTTTCAGAGGTGAATACATTGCCGTATAACAGTCCCATAAATGTATAGCCTATACTATAGGTATGTATCTTGATTCTTTCATGCTAAAACGCAAAACTGTTAGAGTGAATTTTCGTGTTTTATTTTTTCGAAATATCCAGAAACCATTAGTTCTTAACACTTTGGCTCGGTACTATGGATATCGCAACCCTTCGGCCTTGATTTCATGATAAATACCTTAAATCTGAGAGAATTGTTGTTTTTCTGCCTACCCCCGGGCGTGAACCCGGACCACAAGGAGTTCGTCACCCGGTCGTCGCGAAGTCAGGTTTAGTCAACTGCACTAGCGAGCCGGGCAATTTTCGTATTGCAGACTGAATTAGCGTATTTAATTTCGGAGTCACATTAGTGTTAATCTCTCTCTCTTCCTCTTTCCCGCCCTCACATCCAAACACACCACACTGGCATTTTAAATTACTTTCAGTATTATACTATTCCCATAGACATTTTGAACTACCGTATATATAAATAGCTACAATCTTGGATAGGTCAAGTGGTTTCTATCCAGTCTGATTATGTCATGGGGCAGTGTATCCATCTACCAGGGCATCGTGTCCACTTACCAGGACAATGCGTCCTAGTATCAGGAAAATGTGTCCATCTAGTGGGACGGAGCATATACTTCCCACAGAGCTGTCTACTTAGTGGGACAGAGCGTCTACCTGGTGGGACAGAGCGTCTACCTAGTGGGACAGAACGTCTGCCTACCAGAAATATGGCTCTACCTACTGAAGCAGCAATTCTACCAACCGGAAAATGTATCTACTTAGTGGAACAGAACGTTCAACTACTGGGACAATGTGTAAACATATAAAACATTCTGCAAACCTACATATCAGTACATCTGAGAAATGCATGACTACAGTAAAATCTTTGGTCTACAATGATACAGCTGTTGTCAACATACAGATAACTCAAAACTGCTCGGCTGCAGTGCTTTCAACTTTTCCATAACATAGTCTACCTCTTTATGAAACACTGTTTTACTTACCTACCATAAATAATCGGTCTACCTCTTTATGAAACACTGTTTTACATACCTACCATAAATAATCGGTCTACCTCTTTATGAAACACTGTTTTACATATCTACCATAAATAATCGGTCTAACTATATATTCTAATCACTAACGTTATCTACCTACCTTTCCTACCACAATAAACATAACCAAACTTTCGTTATGTCCACCTTATAAAACTGTACCTCCTCTCACCTACCTATATAAAAAGTTAGTTGTGTATCCTTTACAGGACACTGCAGAACCAACTTCGGTATTTTTTTTTGGCTGTTGTGGTTTTTTCTTTGGCAAATTTACATTTAGTAATTTGCCACTGTTTTCTGAACAGTCAACTCTCGGTTTCATTATCGAAACCAACACAAGATGGTCTGCCAAAAAAGCTGCAGCTGGGATCGAACCTGGCACCCCAGCATTACGAAGCACGTTCGCAACGTCTAAGCCACGAAGCTATATAATTTATCCTATTTTCCTGCATACACAACTTGTACTATTTTCCTGCCTACACAACTTGTACTATTTTTCTACCTAAAAACCTATCACATTTTCTTATCTAAAAACTTATCATATGTCATATTTTCCTACATACATAATTTATACTATTTTACCAACCTACATAATTTTTTTTTAACCTACCCACATAAAACTATATATATATACTGAGGATACATATCCAGATACTTGTCCCTCTCTTAAACACATCAACGTTATTTAAAACTCTCCACCCCCACATACAAACACAATAACACTATTGGAAGTGCCATACCAGTAGCAGATACAAGTTGTTAAAAATAAATAAACAATAAACTATGTTGTGAGGAAAGTAAATACAAAATAAACTGTTATTAGAAAAAATATACATAATGTAAGCGTTTTTAGAAGAACAAATATATAACAAACTGTAAGCGTTATTTGATAAATAATTATACAATAAACTTTTTACGTGTGCATCAATGGCCGTCCCATCTCACTACCCAGAGACCAGGAGGAATCATTATAAGTCCTAGTCCACATGAAAAAATCCCATCTCTTACTGGGGATTGAACAGGAAACCTCTAGCATTCGAGGTGGACATCATGCCTCAAGACCACGCAGCCCCCTTATAAACTGTAAGTTGTGAGAAAAAGTAATTTATAATTAAGTTGGAATAAAAAAATACATAACGCCTCAACACCCCCTCCCCAATTTCTGCACATTTCTTCCACACACACGCAGGCATCCACATACCCTGAACAATTATGGAAACCTTATGCGGCAAATCTCTATCCTCCGAGATAAAAAAAAAAGCCTTTGAATGATGCATAAATCGAGTTTTAACTTGCAGCTGCGAATCCTGGACATGAAAAAACAGGAGAAACTGCATTTATAAACTGTAAGAACATAAGCTATAAATCCCTATGATGCAGGCGAGAAAATTAATTTTGGAATGTTACCTAGAATTAATCTAAACAGATGGTTGGGAATCTTCCAAACCAATCAGCCCTGTGCAATCTTTTCAATATCATGGAAGAAATCCCCTGCAGCACCCTTGTCCTCTCTCAACAATGCTGGTCTTAGGGTTTCTCATGTTTATTAGGCTGGAAGTCGATATATCCCCCCTCCCATACACACACAAACACTAGGACCCTGAAATCCGCAGAGAGAGGAAGTGCTGAATACAATATAAAATGTGACTAAAAAGTCGGTGGAGGCAATGGAAAAGATACAATCAAAGGTTTTGACAAAACGTTCCTTTTGTTTGTTTCAGGGCCCTATTGTGGGGAAAACAATAACAGACCCATTGCCTACCCAAAAGTATGTCGTAGGAGTCAACTAATTTGGAGCTTACTTCGAAGCTGGAGTTCATCTGCCTGAGAGGCAAAGTACCAACAGGCTGCATACAAATGTGTCAGATCAGGAACAGCACTGCAGTCCAGAAGTTGAGAAACAACCAGAACTTTCCACCTGAGCTTAAAGCTGGTAAACATGAAGAAGAAGAGGAAAAAGACCACATCTTTATCAACTGAGTAATAAACACAACACATACTGTGACAGAAATATTCAACAGACTAGGCAACAGAGTTAACAACAAAGATCAACATGAAACATTGACACACATAATAGGAGAAAAATATGGACATGAAGAACATATCACAAAACAAAACAAAAATATGATGGCTTTTGAAAGAAAAATGGGGAGAAATATAAAAAAAAACTTCAATTTGATTATTAAATTACATAAAATAAAGGAAAGGAGACAGGAACTGACAAGAATGTGAGAAATATAAACGTAATTGAAATTTATATAAAATGAAATTAACAATTTAAAAAAATTAGATAGGATACAATGAAGACAAAACTGTATGGTACACGAGAGGATATGGATTGCACAATAGCTTTCATAAAGGCTACCGGCCTCCTGGTATAAGTTTTCTGACAGAAGGATCGAAGAAAAAAAAAAGACTGACAAGAAGAATGTGAGAGGCTTTTTGGTGAGTACTCAAAGGTGATGCCTAGATGATGTATGAAATGTGAACGGTTCAACCGATCTAAATGACTTACATATCTTCTCTTCTGCTTGTGTGACTGGTCAAACCTAGACTTGACCTCATCAATAGCATCCTGCAGTTTCCCATTGTCATTCAAGTTTTGATCTATTGCTAACAGCAGGTAGGATCTCCAATTTGCCGAATCAAATCCCCAATGGCAAGTGCGGTTTTCAATGGACTTATGAGAATGGCAGACAAACTTGGGAGGGCTAAACATTCCATAACAGTCAACACAGCGAATACATTTGGAGTCTGGAGACACGTATGCTTCTGGATTCAACAGCCCTTTGCCTTTCCCAAAGCACTCATGGTACACCTTAAAACTACTACGAGAAGGGGGTTCCATGCTTTTCTCTGGATTGACATGAAGCAAAGCATTGCAAAGCCGTTCAGCGTCTGTTTTGGTGATGAGTCCGCAACTTGGCGCCGGAGATGGCAGGATATTGAGAAGTTTTAGTGTTTCCAACTGGGTCTGGTTGCAGCGCGAGCAGAAGATGTTTAGCTCATCACAAACGGCGTTGATTTGTTGCAAACTGAAATCCTGCAAAACTGTATTGAGAATCTGAGGCAAGCATAAACGCTTCTCGCCTCCAACTGTAAAACAAGCGATTGTTTCTCCTTCCAAAATCGTGTCTGAACGTTCGCTTCTCGTAGTATCCACGGGCGTAAATACGGGCATTTGCTGAATGGGAAACGGTGGAGGTGCGAGGAAGGGATTTTCATATTCAACATTCTTTTCTTCAGCTAGTTTCTTGGAGGCAACTAAAGCTTTATGATATTCCTCCACTTCCATAACAGTTATCTTGGGTAGGTGGCCAAGGACACCCCCAGTCCGAAGCGGCAACCCGTTAGGCCCGCTCAAACTACGAACGGCTGCGTTTTGGAAACTCTGGATAACCCTTTTGACATGCGGGTTCACATGGGCGCTATAGTCATCCATGAATCACAGTCAGTACTTCACAACATATCCACGAAAAAAATAAGGTTCAGTGTCTTAAAACCAACTACGTCTGTATATTCTCCGATGAATTAAGCACAGCGTTGGGGCCATTTCACGTGCGGGGAGTGGAGAGAAAGCTGTCTGTCCGTGCCCGACGACCAGCAGACAACACACTGCATGGAGAACGAGCGAGGCGAGCAGACGTCGAGGGCTCTTCAGCCGCAAATACTTTCAGCTCTTCCCGCAGTCCTTCTCACTCCCTCCGATAATCAGAATACAACAGCACTAAACGCCTTAAATCGTGCGCAAACAATCACCAACAAGATAAATTATATTCGTCTTTTCGTATAATTCCTACAATTATTGCCAGGAATAACACAAGTTGTAAGCAAAGTAAACAAAAGCCTTATATAAACAGACGTTAACGGTTGAAGATTCGAATGATGTAATCAGTTACCTCCTTCTATCTATAGAATATATTTCACGGCGGCCACGTTTGCGCCTACATCAAATTGTTCTTCTAAGAAAAGAAAGAAGTTAATGTTAGTTGTCATAAATGCGATGAACAAGCTACAGGAAAACCACAAGTCCCGGATCTGCATCAAATCGACCAGCACAGAAGAGTCCTAGTTGCTCAAGATTGCGTTTTGTTATGGCGGCTGATCCCTGAAGGTTGTCTCGTGATGACGTCGGCGCTGACGTCTCGACGTCTGTCGAGGGTTGTTTGTCAGCCGTGTTCTGTGTGCCTACATAGATCCCCGGACTAGAAATAGCATCGTCCCTAGACACCAGGCAGCCGCAACACACCACGCCACCACTGCAGGGTGACCTCGGGCGAGGTCGAAGCGGACACAACGGCTTGGGGTGTGACAGTCTATCAACGGATTTACCACGGCGTTGGTACGGTTGTATTAGGTCATGTTAGTCTTTCATGCTTTCACCAGGTTATCTTTTCCGTCTTGTACTGTAACTGGGTTTGTCCAGGTGAATGTGAGATAAGTCAAAGTGGGCCTGTTTTACCGCGAGTTAGGCATGGTTGCGTGCATGCGCCAGATTTTTAGGCTGCCTTGGTTAAATCTTTAAGCGTAGGCGTGCGATCGTTATTTCTTTGCATTCAATTTTTTCAACCATTTCTACCATTTTGGTAAAAGGCTATTTTATTTACTTGAACTTCAAATCGAATCACTTCCTGCATGATGATTGGAAAAAAAAATTAAGATGAATAAAGGTTTGAACATTAGACCAACGCCATTGCACACAGGTAGTAACCCACAAGTGCTCCGTTCTTCTTCTAACTCAAATCTGAGTCCGAAGAAGCTCCGCACAGTGCACAAGCTCTTTAGCACCGGTGAGGATCCTGAAATACTTTAGGGAGATTTTTTACTCCAATTTCTACTCTTTTCGATTTTCAACTGCCAAGGGAATTTTTTTTTACATGCGCAACAGTGCACACTGGCGTCCGATCTCACTACCCAGAGGTTAGTTGCATATCCTGTACAGGACGTTGCAGAACCAACCCGAACAGCCGCTGGCTGCTGTGTGGTCCTTTTAGGCAATTTACGTCCAGTAGTTTGCCATTGCCTTCTGGACGGTCGGCTTTCTTGATACCACTCTTAAAACCAACGCAAGGCGCATGGCAGCCCGCAGCTGGGATCGAACCCGGCATCCCGGCATTACGAAGCGTTCGCATCGACTTAGCCACAGAGCCGACCACTACTCAGAGACCAGGGGGAATTACTAGAAGTCTCATTCCACGTGAAAACATCCCAGCCCTTACCGGGGACTGAACCCGGAACCTCTAGCAGTCGAGGCGGACATCATGCCTCGAGACCAGGCAACCCCCTTTAAGACGAATAACGGTTTGGGGTGTTTATTACTACCTTGTTATTTGTGTAGAGTCTACCGAGTGAAAAATAGCTGTCAAGCAAGCATGGATGGCCTAAGCAGTTTATGCATGATTAGTTTCATGCAAAGTAGGTATTTATAGGAATGCAAAGTTGGTAAGAGGAGCCGTGACAGTGTGGTGGCGAGACGCTCGACTGCCGGTCCGAAAGTTTTGAGCTCGAATCCGCACATCCCGGGGCCCCATTGTGGACAAAACAAGGAAAGATCAACAGCCTCCCCAACATGCATGTCGTAGGAGTCGACTAATTGGGGGCATCCTTCGAAGTCAGAGGGTTTCTGACGGAGAGCCAAGGAACCAGTAGTCTGCATACAAATAAGCCAGATTTGTAAAACATATGTACTCGTTAATACAGGTTCTACAAGAAGACTGTAGTCCGGAGGTGGACGAACAACCAGAACTTTCCGCCGGAGATTACAACCAGTGAAAACGAAGAAGAAGAAGAAGAAAAATCCACACTGACGGATTTGGTTTAATAAAAAAAAAAATGACATTGGATCCCAGCTCAACCCAGCCTAAGATGGGTCCCAGTCATTGTCCTGAGAAGCAAAGGCGGCTATGTCAGCGGGATTTATCACATCATCCTCCGAGAACTACAGGCTGCACCTGTACCCGTTACAAAAAATAAGTTAGTTGAATATCCTGTACATGACGTTTCAGAACAAACCCCAAGCCTTTTTTTATGGTTGTTGTGGGTTTTTTTTTTTTTTTTGTAAACAAATTTTAAATTCAATAATTTGCCAATGCTCCTAAACAGCCAGCTCTCTGTGCCGCTGTCGAAACCAAGGCAAGACAAACCGCCCGCAGCTGGATTTGAAGCGGCACCCCGGCATTACGAGGCGCCTAAGCCACAGACGCAGACCCTCTACAGATGTCCTACTTACACAACTTCTGCGAAGTATCTGAGATCTGTCTTGGCGGTCCTCCATCCAGATTTAGATTCTTTAACTCACTGAGTCCCAGACATGGAGGCCTTTGACTCATCTTTGCTCAGGTTCTTCTTCTTCTCCTTCTGCGTTCGACATCAGTCATGCTAAACATTGAGTCCCGTCTGGGTCACAAATAGGATTGTGCGTTTAAAGTCGCCACCGGTCCCCCATAGCTTCTCTTTCAATGTGGCTCCCTTGGGCCAGATCCACAGTCTTTGCTGGGAGAGGTTAGGGCAGTGCTGTAGTATGTGCCCAGGTGTCTGTCATTCTGCTCCACAATCACAGGCAGCAGATTATTTTATGCCTATCCTGTACATGTGTGCTCGAAGACCACAGTGTCCAGTCTGAAGTCTAAAAATTGATGTTTGTTCTTTCCTGTTGAGTTTGTTTATGCTGTCACTCTCTGGTCTGTAATCTCCATTCTGCCTTCTCGACTCCCGCTTGAAAGTCTGCTTTAGCGCTGTTTTCGGTTTCCTTGTAGCTGTGTGGTGGATGAGGTTGTGGAAGATTACTCCCAGCTTTTGCTTTGCTCAGGTAACTGATGCTTAATGTATTTTACATGCATGGGTACGAAGGGGTACTAAAACAAGTCAAACTGTGGAGCAGGAGGAGGTGCAGTAACAATAGGAAAGAGTGGGTTATAGCTAGTGTCATGACGTACAGGCAGCCCAGAAAAGCCTAGCATGCTAGGCAACTCCAGTAAACGCATGGTGTGTTGCTTGGTACTCAACAACAGTTAATGTCGGGTGGTATACCGAGCCCTTGGATAGCAGCCTTGAAGGGACAACCCTGTCGATTGATCGATCTAACCTAAGCAAGATGCGCCCATGTTGAATAAAAGATCTATGACTGTGTTCACGTAGATAACGAAGATATGGTAGAGCCAGTGCTGGATTCTTTTCATTTAGTTCACATCATCTTGGAGACTACGAGACTTCATGGGGAGTTCCCGGGAAAGTCCAGTAGTATAGGGGTGTTATGGTGTGAAATCAACAACAACAACACCAACCCGAGCCCGAACCACCCTACAATACTTGACTTTCCTGGGAACTCCCCACGAAATCCCCGAGATGGGGTGAACTAAAAGAAAATAACCTAGTGCTGGATTTAGGTATAAGCTAAATGAGCCATAGCTTAGGGATTAGAGCCTTGCAATCTTAAAGGGACCGAAAAAAGAGTTCTAATTTATTAATTTCTCTAAAGTGAGAACAATTATGTCTCTAGAAAAACTTGTTTGCATTTCATATGTATATAGTTTTGTGGCCCTCCATATTTGTGCTTCAAGCAGCAATGCTACTGACAATCTCTGCTTTCATACTGACTCAGCAATGCTACTGACAATCTCTGCTTTAATACTGACTCAGCAATGCTACTGACAATCTCTGCTTTAATACTGACTCAGCAATGCTACTGACAATCTCTGCTTTCATACTGACTCAGCAATGCTACTGACAATCTCTGCTTTAATACTGACTCAGCAATGCTACTGACAATCTCTGCTTTAATACTGACTCAGCAATGCTACTGACAATCTCTGCTTTAATACTGACTCAGCAATGCTACTGACAATCTCTGCTTTAATACTGACCCAGCAATGCTACTGACAATCTCTGCTTTCATACTGACTAGTAACTGCATCACGACATCAGTTACAAACAAGAATGGAACTCTGTGGTTCTTGCTGATTAAAGCAGCTGAGCTTTGTGGACCACTGCGGCAAGTCAGCCTTCCTATCTCGCACCTGAAGTCAGGTGAATGATAAACTGACCACTTGAGGGGAGGTCACAGCAACTGTGTAAATACATAGGAGGAAACTAAGATAGTGAAAGTAAACAAGGCAAATGATAAGCATGTATCATCTAACGCATGGGCGCCGGAACTTAGGGGCACCCCATGGACAAGTCCCCGTTTCCTATCGATCGCGCAATCACACATAAAACTTCTCTCTTTATTTATTTTTTTTTTAAATTGCATTTGTAAATTTTATTACATTTTATTTTATTCAGATAAAAAAAAAAGTTTGCCTTTGCAGGATGTTACAGAACCAACCAGAGTATTTGCTGGCTGTTTGGTTTCGTAGGGAATTTTTACTTTCAATAGTTTGCCATTGCCCCACTAAACTGTCGCCTCTCGATACTACTGTGAAAGTCAAGGCAAGGTGGTCTACT